AGTTCGGAGAACCGGTTATTGGAAGAAACCTCCTTTTGTTTTGTTTTTCCATTTTACAGGGCTAATCCTGTAAGGAAGGCAGGAAGGAGACATTCTGGTGTTGCTTCTAGCCTCATCTTTATTGCCCTGCTTACAGAAACTGCCTCTCCGGTTAACCCTGATTACATTGTAAGAGCTAAGACAAAGCGTCCATCGACCTGAGTGACTTTGAGTTGGCCACGCCCACCCAGTCACATGACCACCGAGCCCCACCTACCCAGATGGTCATTAGGGCAGAGAACCGGTTGTTAAATTATTTGAATCCCACCACTGCTCCATATATAGATGTAGCTTCATTGAGGACTACATGTTGAGTGTGCCCATTCTGGGGAACCATTCCTCAGGCAGTGAGACTTCCAAATGCCCTGTTTCCCTCCAGCTCCCCAAAGCAAGACCCTTTGCAGCCAAAAGTTTTGCTGTTTTGGGGAGACAAAAAGGAGCTCTTATCGAAGCCTCTTCAGGGAGTCCTGTGAATCCTGCTGTACCTGTGAAATGTTGTAGGCTCCTCCTTCCCATCTCTCCCCCTCTGAAGAAGTTGGTTTTTAGCCAAGGTTAATCTGCAGATCCAGCACTGTAAAGAGCTAAAAAAAACACCCAACCACCACCAACCCAGGCTTCTGTTGCCTTGGTAACCTCATCCCCACACAGTGACTTACAAGGAAGGCAGATGCAACCCAGCCTTGGCTGCAGAGGTGGGGAGTGCCTGGGAATCTGGCCCAGTGTTGGCAGCACGTAAGCAGTCACAAGATGCTGCCACACCTGGCAGCTGATAAAGGTGAGTGGGTGGGGAAGCGCAACCATAAGGCGCACACGGAAGCAGCCAAATAAGGGAGGAGTGTTAGGTGTTTTCTTTTGTTCCCGGAGGGGAGCAAAGCATGTCAGAGTTCAGGTTTAGAAGTCCAGGAATAGAAGGTTAGACTTGAATTAGAAAGCAAGTAGCTGGATAGTTGGCCACAAGGGGTAGTTTGAAAGTAGTCTCCATGCTACCTCTCAAATAGAAGGACTTCGCTCTGTTTTTATCCGGGATCCAATAATTTTATGCAAGAAGCTGAATACATCTTCCAGTAAAATAATATACCTGCTTTCTCCTCCTCCCCCATTCCTGATTTGAAGCATTGAGATAGGCTTTATTCCGGTCCACCGACAAATGCGCGCACCACAAAAGCGCGCCGACAAAACCGTGGTGAAAAAACCGCGACGTCGAAATCGCGCCAACAACAGAGCGCCGACAAAAGCATGCCTTCAACAAACAATGAAATAACCCTAACCCTGAACCTAACCCTAACCCTTACCTTAACCCTAATCGCGCTTTTGTCGGCGCGCTGTTGTGGGCGCGATTTTGACATCACGGTTTTCTCGCTGCGCTTTTGGCGTGTGCGCATTTGTCGGGTCACGCTTTATTCCCTATCACAACTTGTGGGATTTTTCTCCAACCTCACCCCTGGTTCATTGTAAGGTTCATAGTATCTGTTGAACATCCTAATGAAGCATCCTTTTGCAAGGTTTCTCTGTCTTTTGATTCTTTCACCTTCTTTAAGAGTTGCACTGGTGGGAGGGGTCTTGGCCTTGTTTGTGGGATATAGCATTTCAATTGGCTTGATTCTGTTCTGACCCCCCTCCTCCATCCAGGAAAGAAAGCCGAAACAAACGTAAATGAGAATGTTTTTTAATCAGTCCAGATTCTCGTTGGCTGAAAGCCACATAAACAAAGAGGTAAGCACTCTGGTAGCAAGTCCTACCAACCTTGGCAGCAATGCAAACAAACTCTGTCAGCAATCCAGCCTGCCAAGTTTGTTTCTCATTAGTCCCTAATGTTGACTTCTGCAAGAAGGGCGTGGCACAAGCAG